AAAAAAAAAAAAAAAGGAAGGAAGAAAGAAAGAGAAAGAAAGATGGATGCCTCCCCAAGGTGACAGATAAGCTAAGCCAGGTGAGAAATCTAAAGAAATTCAGGTGCAAAGACCCTCTGGCCAAATGGTCTTGGCAGAAAGAAGCTGCTTCTGTAAGGCAGGGATCCTATAAGGTAGGCCTTGAAGGCCCTGGTGGGGAGCTCTGTTAGGACCCTCACTATAGGAAGGAAGGCAGCTGGATATATTAATGAGTCACAATGGGTCGTCCTGGTGGACCTCTGGAGTCTGACCTGGGTCCACGTTTGAGGTCTCCCACTTTAAAGACCCTGGGAAAGTTACTCGAGTTTCCTCATCTGAATAACCAAGGGTTTCTCGTGTTTGATGCCAAATGCCTTTTGCGGGGATTAGCTCCAAACCTCAGCTTCATCAGTCAATTTATTCTTACATTCAAGAGCAACCATTTACAAAATGAGCTCAGAAAAAAAAAAAATACATATATTGTAAATTGCTAAATTTACATTTGAAAAGATCAGATCTTAATTCTTCAAGAAGCTGAGTGGAAGGATTGAGAGACATAAAAAAAAAAAACACAGAAATTTTAAATGGTAGAACATACTGCATAAACAAAGTAGAAATAGATTCCCCAGGCAAAGCTGATTATATTGCTGGGATAATCGACTTTGTCACTGCAGTCTCACTTGGTACTTTAAGAAACTCCATCTTGATCCTAGGTCTGGGTTGATCTGGGCGTTCCAGCTAATTTTCCATTTCAAAAACCTAAAGCAATAAAAATGTTGACATTGACATTTATCATTTTTATCCTCGCCCTCTGCCTTGTTAGGCTGGGAGATCTGTTCCACTTGGCTGCTTTAGGGAGGGCGGGGAAGCGGGGGAGAAACCGAGGCGCAGGGTGGAGAAAGGGAGAAGCCTCACAGACTGAACACATGAGAAAACCTGGAGAACGGATTCGCTGCTGCTTATTTCAGGGAAGAAAGAAAACCGAGAAGTGAAGCACGGAGGGGGTCAGGTTCGGGGAGCGGTGGGAAGGTTTCAGGGGGCCCCGGGGCAGGTGGAGCGCAGGCAGCCGGCACCTGGGGCCCAGCTCGGGCCGCGGGGTGCAGCCGGGCAAGGGCTCTCGGGCTCTCGGGACCGGAGGAGATAAGAAAAAGGAGAGACATGCAGAAAAGGAGAGGAAGAGGGGCAGCACTCATGGAGGGAAGGAAGGAGGCCGAGACGGAGCAACGCCCGCAGGAACCCGCAGCCGAGCTGCCAGCCGGACTGGGCGGGGAGGGGGGGGGGGCACGAAATGGGCGGGGCGCCAGACGGCGCGAGGCCAATGGGAGGGCGGGCGGGGCGAGGGCGGGGCGCTAGACGGCACGAGGCCAATGGGAGGGCGGGCAGGGGCGAGGGCGGGGCATTAGGCGGTGCAAAGCCAATGAGAGGGCGGGCCGGGTCCTCCGGGCTGAGGCGGGGCGCCAGGCGGAGGGAAGCCAATGGGAGAGCGAGCTAGGGGCAGGGGCGGGGCCCCAAGCCAATGGGAGGGTGATGACAAGGGGGCGGGGCGCCAGGCAGCGAGAGAGCCAATGGGAGGCCGAGCCGGGGGCCGCGGGCGGTGGGTCTCCCCGCGCGGAGAGGGAGACCCGGAAGGCGGTGGGGGCGGGGAGCGGAGCTGACAACCTGTCAAATCCACTTTAGGACGAACTAGGTCACGCGCTCCCAGAGCAGGGCTACCCCGCCCGCGAGACCCAGCCGCGGCTCCTTCCTCTTCCTGCCCGCGGCGGTGGGGGCGGGGCGGGCCTCGGGACACCTGCCTCCGCCGCCGGCCGCCGGCCCCGCGCGGCTTCTCGGGCGACTCCGCCTCGGCCGCACACGCCCGGCCCGCTCGCGGCGGGAGGAGCTGGGGTCCCGCGGGCCCGGCCGCGCTCTCTCCCTGGCCTCCGGGAGCCCGCCGCGGCCTGGCCCGGAAAACCTCGCGACTCCCCGCGCCCCCGGCCGTCCCCGCGCCGCTCCTTGCCGCGCGCGGCCGTGGACTCGTCCCCGCGGGCCCCGGTGTGCGGAAGCCGCGGGGGCCGGGGGCGCACTACTTGGCGCGGAAGGGCCGGAGGCGGGCGGAGGGATCCTGGACCGCGGGGGAAGCCGCAGGGAGGAGCCGGGAGGAACCTGGCGCCCGCCCACGCCCGCCCCACCCACGCGTGCCGCGGTCACCTGTTCCCCGCGGGAGCCGGGCAGCGCTCCGGGGCCGCCGCTTTGTGCCCGTGGAGTCGCGGGGAGGGCGCAGCGCACTGGGGTCTTCCGGGCCGGCGGTCTTCCTGCACTTTCCCCTCGCGTGCAGACCGCGGCGTTCTGTCTCCAGGCAAACGGAAAGAAATCAGAGACTCCGACGGCAGCGTGGATCCCCCGGGTGCAGGGCTTGCTGGAACGCCAGGCGGTGGGATCGCGCCCCTGGGATTCCGCTTGGCCCGCGCGTCCATTTCCCTGCACCGGGGACTCGGTGAAGCCGGGTCTGTCCAACGCCTGCAGCGTGGATGTGGAGGCAGACTAATCTGTTCAGTTATTTCTACCCATCCTTTTTTCTCCGTGCTGATTTGCTTAGAACTTTAGCATTGGATGGACAGCAAATGTAATGTTTAATTTTCACTCCTTGACCATTGTGTTAATTTCTCTCCAGAACAAGGTGACGCGTTGTTTTAAGTAACAATGACCCAGTCATCTACTTTTCTTCCAAATTGTATAAATTGAAGGGTAAAATGTCTAAAAACGCTAAAATTTGAATGCTAAATTTGAAGATTTGACACAATAATTTGAAATGCTTCTTTGCAATATTACGGATTTCGGAACAAATAAAAATATTTCACTTTCAGACATTATTCAACAAATAGTTCTTGAACGTTTATATGCAAAGCAGTGTGCTCAAAACATTTTTATTACTTTTCCAAATGTATTTTATCAGTAGAAGAACTTTGTTTTCAATTCTAGTCTTTATTTAAATGTATTTTAGTTACCACATTGGGAAGAATATACTACTATGTACGGAATGTACAGACATACGCTTTTATGGTTACAAAAAATAGTGATTAAGAAAGAAAATATGGCCGGGCTCGGTGGCTCACTCCTGTAATCCCAGCAGTTTGGAAAGCTGGGGCAGGCGGGTCACCTGAGGACGGCAGTTAAACCATCCTGACCAACATGGAGAAACCCCATCTCTACCAAAAATACAAAATTAGCCCGTTTTGGTGGCACATGCCTGTAATCCCAGCGACTCCGGAGGCTAAGGCAGGAGAATCGCTTGAACCGGGAAGCAGAGGTTGCAGTGAGCCGAGATCTCGCCATTGCTCTCCAGCCTGGGCAACAAGAGGGAAAGTCCGTCTCAAAAAAAATATATATATATTCCTTAAATTCAACATAATAATGAACTTACTCAGGCGGGGCGTGGTGGCTCACACCTGTAATCCAATCACTTTGGAGGCCAAGGCGGGCAGATCACCTGAGGTCGGGAGTTCATGACCAGCCTGACCAACATGGTGAAACCCCGTCTTAAAAAAAAAAAAAAAAAATGAACTTACTCATAATTAGCTGTAGTATTATTGCACTTGAAGAACTACCATATTTATTATTTTTATGAGTACTATTTATAAATAGTAAATGCTATTAACAGTATATGCTATTAACAGTACTATCAATAAAAAGTAGGAATAGAGGTCCAAATTTTTAAAATGGAAATTAAATACAAAGAAAGCAACAAAAAGAGACTTTTTTTTTTTTTGAGACGGAGTTTCTCTCTCGTTACCCA